CCCAACACATTCTTGCGAACACCTCTGTCATGAAAACCTCCTTATGATATCGAGCACACCGAGAGGATGAAAGGTGAGTGTTGGCGAGGGGTTGTCAAGGAGGGCGCGGGGTGGACGGGGGGTGGACGGGGGGTGGACGGGGGTGGACGGGGGTGGACGGGGGTGGGCGGGGGGTGGACGGGGTGGACGGGGGGTGGACGGGGGGGTGGACGGGGGGGCGGACGGGGGTGGACGGGGGGTGGACGGGGGGTGGCGGGGGGTAGACGGGGGGCGGGCGGGGGGGTGGATGGGGGACGGAAGGTGAACGAAAGGTCGGGCAGGAGGCAGATGGACCTCAGAGAGATTACACCGATCCAGACGGATTTTGTGACGCACCCAATTTTTTTTTTTTTTTTTTTTTTTTTTTTTTTTTTTTTTTTTTTTTTTTTTTTTTTTTTTTTTTTTTTTTAAAAAAAAAAAAAAAAAAAAAAAAAAAAACGTTTATTCACATATCTTCGAACTGGTGTTGCTATTACTGCTGTGTGCGGCGGTTGGCATTCAGAATAGAATCGCCCCCGCTTGATTGATGTCATCAGGCCCATCCCACATGCTTTTCATACGTGACCACATCATGATCATGACCCACCTCCTTCGTTGAGTCAGAACAGCGTCTCCCGATTCCAGGGCACCAGGAAAGGTTTTCTCAGGCGTTGTCTCCTGCTCTTTTGTCCTTCCTGCCCTCCTTGTCTCTCCTGCCTCCTGGGCCCTCCTGCCCCGTCGGTCCCGATTAGGTAATTTGTCCTGCTGCCCCCTAGTCCCTGGAGTACGTTGCGAGCTCTCTTCCCCGCTCGTGAGGCATTTTGCCTCGAGTCCCTCGAGAAGGGCACCTCGGGCCTCTGCCGGGGCCCCCCTAGCGCCTGGCCTCCAGGGATGGCGGCGCCAGCGCAGTGCTGCTACGAGGATCCCCTGTGGGCGCAGCAGTCGGTCTGCCCCGTCGACGGCCGCCCTCGCCACAAGCAGCTAGTGACCTTGCTGTGCGCAGGAGGGGCCAGGGGCAAGGGCCAGTGGGGTTTGTGTCCGCTGCCCTTCACTCCGAGGGCGATTTCCTTAGGTCTCTTCCCAGCCAGTTCCACCCTGTGAACTTGGATCGCGCTTGATTTGGGCGTTGCCTTCCCGCTTCCCCCCCCCCCTCCTGCCGACCTGCAGCCCGGGAGGCATCGGAGCTCCTGAGCGCGCCGCCCGCGAAGCTGGCTGGAACTGGGAGGCCGCCAACGTGTACGACGTAATGGAGGGCAGCGGGGGGAGGGGGGGCGCAGTCTATTCGGACAATTTGAGGGTTGCCCTTCCCTCTGACCCATGCTCAGTCTTCTCCTTCACCCTCTTCATATGCAGAGCGTCTGTCTCGACGCATCCTTCCCTCCGCTCGTCGACGTCGTCGTCGCCGCTGTCGTCGTCGTCGTGGTCGTCGTCGTCCGCCTCCTCCTTCCCCTCCTCCTCTTTCACCTCCACCTCCTCCTCCTCATCCTCCTCCTCCACCTCTAGGCTTCAGAAGACGACGATTTGGGTTAGGGGAGGATGCCCTCAAGCCTGCTGCTCGGCTCGTGCGCGACAGCCTGGGCACTCGCGAGGATTGCTTCCACTATGGCAAGGTTGGCGCATCGGCCTGCGCCCGCCCTCTTGCCGTTTTTTTTTGTTTTGCTAATTCTAGGTTTTCCATGCAGAGGAGGAAGGAATGAGCTAGAAGCGAAGGGGAAGCCGCTACTGACCATGTAAGGACAGTCAGGGTCAGAGCTCGAAGGTACGAGTAGCGAAATTGGAGACTGCTAGGGGGCGGGCGTGATGAGAGAATTGAGGAGGTTAAGGAGGATACGATCGTCAGTATTGAGTCGCAAGTTTCAGGGTCGTCAGGAAGCCCGGATCATAGGCTATTGGCTCGCTCGCGGCAACCTTGGGACTCCTTGTCTGCTATGTCGTCGATGTTCGACGCGAGCCTGCGGTTATTCCGTTTTGCACAGTCATCATGTTTGCGGTATCACAAGGCATGCAAATCACGCGTGATAGCACACGGCTTAACACAACAACATACTTGCATCAGCAAAAGCAATCGACCTGCAACATGCCCGCCAACGGGTTGGCCCGCACCACATGTCAGATGGGAGCAACAGCACCATGACTGCAACATCATCAACGACATACCTGAAAGGGCCATATGGGAAATACAGACCTGTTGAACGTGGCAAATGCAACGCGTCGGCATTTGTCAAATGTCAGCGCCAACGTGCTATCTCACAATGTTTTATTTGATTCCTCTCTCTCTGGCCTCTCGCTCCCTCCCTTTCTCTCTCCCCCTCGGTCACTGCCAACCCTCCATCTCGCCTCTCTGTTCCTTCTCCCGATTCTCTCCTGGCTCTTGTTCGTGTGGCAATTGTTGCTCAGATGTTGATGCTTGACTGGGCCCCCCCTGGCATTCCTGAGATCCCTGAGCCAAGGTATCGCGGCCTCTACGGAGACGGGCCGTTCCAGTACGATTCGGAATTGGCCTGGGACCTTCCCGATATTGAGCCGGGTGCCGTCGTTCCTTCGGCGCCGCATTTGCACCCGGGGCGGCCAGGCCCCCTTCCTTTCTGGGCGCCGACTTTTCTTGAGCTCCCTCAGCCAGAGCAATGTCCGCCAGTGTGGTATCGCCCTGCTACCAAACGCAGGCCAGAGGTCTGGTTCGCCCCAGCCTTTCGCGGGCGCCGTGGCCGCGTGGGCCCTTACGCCGTGGCTATGATTTGGCGCGTGCCTGGTGGAGCTCCCCGCACATATGCGTACCTTTGGGGGTTGGGAATTGAACAAGCTTTTGTTGTGATTTAGTTTTCTGCCCCTCCGTCCATGGGGGGTTCGATGCCCCCCTCTCCCCGATCCCCTCCAGGAATCATTGGTACTCAACACTGGTGGAAGAAGGCGTCTTGGCACCTCGCATCTGACGAAGGAGTTTGCGGCGTCGGAACAAAGAGGGGCCCTCTTGGTAGCGCTCTCACCGCCCAACAAGTTAGGCAGCATTCGATATTCTTGGCCCGCGCAGAAGATGGGGGGTGGAGCCAAATGGTTCGATGCACTCGCGATGAGGTGGAGAGGCCTCCTTCTTCAGACGCCAATGGGGGGCAATGGGGGCTACCGAGGGGCCAAGTGTGCCAACGCCATTGCCCCGTGGGTAGAGCTCTCTCTAGAGGTCATTTCTGGGCCCTCAGCGATGTATGCAGTAGGGCCCCTGGGAACCCCGAAAGCTTGGGCTTACGGGGCAAAGGGGCCGAAGGGGCAAAGGAGGCGATGAGGGCGCAATAAGGGTGGAAGGCGGCATTGGGGAGCGTCGAGCCAGGTGAGGAGGAGGCGGCCATGGGGGCAGAAGAGAAGCAAGGATAATAAAGAGAAGGAGGAGAAGGAGGAGGGACATTGGAGCGCAGGAGCCAGGAGCAATAGCAGATACATATACCACGCACCACTTGCTTCGCATAGGAGCCATTTGGGCTTGAGACTTGCACAGCAAGAAGGCCTCCAGCGAGGCTTCTGAGTCGTGGGTTGAGCTGTCCAGCGATCAGCTGTTGCCATGGCTGGTAAGAAGAAGGTCGCAGCAGGGACGCCGACTGACAACAAGTCAATCACGGCAGCCTTTGCTACTTCGAAGGGCGAGTCCTCAAAAGGCGAACCTGCAGCGGCGCAGCTGGGTGCTCCAGCCGCAGCCGCGCAGCCTGATGCTTCGGCCGCGCAGCCAGGTGCAACGCCCTCCGCGTCGCCTTCACCAGCAGCCCCTCCAGGCGGCGCCGTCGGCGCAGAACCTCAGGCCACTCCTGCGGCAGACGTCCCCACGGGCGGTGAAGGCAAGGGCGCGAAGCAGGTCGGAGCGGAGAATGTCGAGCAGGAGGGCGACGCGTCCGATGGCCTGGAGGCTGAATTGAATGCGATGTTTGATGGTGAGATCCCGGCCAGCACTGACGATGCGCCTGGCGGACAAGAGAAGTCCGATGTTACCGAGGCTATTACGGGGACGGCGACGCCAATCTCTTCGGATGCTGCCCCGTCTTCGGAGACCCCGAAGGCTGTCATTCCTCAGGCCGCGTCCAGCCCTGTTGCTGCAGTGGGCGCGCTCGCCGCGCTTGGCCTCGCGCCGATGTCGGCCCTGCCTGCCTGGAGCCCGCCTCCCAAGGGTTCTAGCGCCAGCAACGGTGGCACCCCGACGTGCGCCAAGGCCAAGCCATCGCCACATACAGGCAATATGTTCGCGTGCCCCATGGCCGAGGAAACCATCTGAGGTGATGACACGTTTGAATGCAAGCGCTGCGGCTTGCACCTGGCCCTCTGGGAGAAGAACGAAGACGATAAGACGCAGAAGGATATATGTGACAAGTGCCACTCTAACTACAAGGCGTTAACTCGCCGCTGGAAAAAGCACAAGGCCTTGAAAAAGTGGTTTAGCGACAAGTCGGAATCCGAGAAGCAAGAGTGGTACGCCACCCACAGGGTCAGCGGAGTCCCGGACCGAAGGCCCCAAAACATTTGCGCTAGCATCAGGGTTGGGCGTGTATAAACCAATCCGCATGATAGTCTCTTGAGCAGCAACAGCGGAAGGAGGATGAGAAATGAAGGAGGCAGGAGGATGCGAGAGGAGGCAGTGAAGGTGGAGAGAGGGTTGGATTTGGTGAAGCAACCCACCGTGCCTTGCTCCCTCCCCTGGGCCCCCCCCAAAGCTGCATCCTGAAAGCCTGTTCAGGGCCCGGGGCTCGGTCTCGTGGAACTCGCGCTGGAAAGTCACCTGGGGGGCGGCGTAGGGGCGGGGGGGATGGCAGAGGATTGGCGCCCATTTATTCCCAATCCTACATCGTGTTCCCTCCCTCGGTATTTATCCGAAACCTCCTCTCGTTTCCCTCTTCTCTCCTTCGCCCTCCACCTGCTCCTCTTGCCCCCCACCCACCCCCTCTCTAGATGGCAAGTCACCAACCACCCCCTCGATCGCACTGTTTATTTTGTCGGCCGCTCCTGAGGACGTGAGCGAACTAGTGAAGATTGCGGTGGTGGCGGAGAAGGAGGAGGGCGAGGAGACCCGCGGCAGGGTTCACTGGAAACCCTGGGCCCTCGTCGCGAGAGATCTCGCTCTCGAGGGCTTCGCCACGAGGGCAGACCAACTGACTGAGTTCAGGCGCCGCTGCATGTCCAACCAGTACACTGTGATGGCCGACCCTGTGCATCCGAAGGAGTGGCTGATCAGCGAGTACCAGGGCATCATCGCTGATCAGGTCACCGCCAGCAGGGTCAAGGGCGTCGCTCAGAAGGATGCTGACGCGAGCTCCCAGGCGGCCTTGCAGGCCTTCATGCAGTCCATGACGCAGTCGCTGCAGGACTCTCGCTCGAGCAGCGTCGCAGCCATTCAGTCTTTAGCGAACGACGGCTCGGCCGCGAGAGCTGCGCCCCCTGAAGAATTTTGCCATAACATCTTCGAGTCCCCCTCCTTGGCAACGATTGCGCAGCAGGAGGTTGGAAACTTCGGCGCAGCCTTCACCAAGTCGTTGCAGAAGGAGCAGGAGGTCAGGGAGGCGCAGAAGCGGTACCAAGCGCTGATCCTCGCAGAGGACATCGATGCCAAGAATCACGCGGCCGAGAGCGCCAACGGCAAGACCGTGAACATCGTCCAGGCGCGTTTCAACGCTGAGAAGGCCATCGACGCCCACAGCAAGAAGCTAATTGGGCTTCTCGATACTCAGGCGGGTTAAATTGCACAAATTGCCCGGATGGGGGTCAGGAGAAGGAGGAGGAGCGGAAGATGGAGGAGGGGTGGAAGGAGGAGGATGAGGGGTTCTCGGAGTGAGGGGGGACAGGGGGGCGGCGGAATGAGATGCATACGGGTCCTTGTTTCGCTCGCGCGTTTGGCATTGCACCAGTTTTTTTGTTTTGTTGAGTTGGCCTCGGGTGCGGATCGAAAGGAAGTCCTCTTCGACTGGCCAGGGGGGTCCCATTGATTGGAGCATCGGTTTGACGGCGTGATGTCCGTTCTGGCCTGCGTTCTTCCGAATGAAAGTGCAGGCGTTTGATGGGCCTCGTTCTGAATTCAGAGAGCCCTCCCATCCCCGATAGTTCCCGGCCTCTGTCGATCTAAACCGTGTTGTGGTTTGGTATCGTCTGGGTTGGCCTGGGAGCGTCGCGCGGCGGCGCGCGGCGGCGGCGGCGTCGGCGACGGTGTCATCGAAGGTGACGGAAACGAGGTTGCCATTGTGATTGTGCCTCCATCTTGAAAAGACGGTGGCGGCGCAGACTTGTTTGCCCTCTGTTCCATCCCTTGCCAATGCCAGTCACTCGTTTGTTTGTTTTGCCTGAGCCCCGCAGGCAAACGAAGCTTTATCCGTGGCGGAGTTTCTCGAGGGGAGGGTGCCCAGGGAAGTGTTGGAGACAGATACTTGGAAGCCTACGATGGATAAGCTTGCAGGTGTCAAGGCTTCTGCTGCGGCGGAGGCGAAACGGATAGATGCCCAATGCAACGAGATGGTCGCTGAGGTGAAAGACGCAACTTGGGATGGCAGCGTGAAAAAGGTTCGGGAGCAATTGAAGGAATTGGTCGAGTCGCAGAGGCTTGCCACTTGCCATGCCATCGTGACTAAACGGTTGATCTCCGACGCCAAGGCGCAGTGCGCCAAGAGGACCGAGAGCGGCGCTCAGTCCAAGAAGCGCAAGTCAGCATTCGACGATGCGCCGCAGATGGAGGTCGACTTGGAGAGCAACCTCGGCCCTGCGATGCAGGTCATCGCATCTGAGACGCGTGGCAAGCACATCAACATCGTGACGGACCTCTCGGAGCTGGGCCCCGGCAGGATGGCGGTGGTGGCGGCCCCCCAGCTTTGCAAGGACGTGGAGGCTGCATCAGGTTGGAAAGCTTGCGAGTCCTGGATGCGAAGCAAACTCGAGACGTGGGGCTCGCAGGGCGCTTCGCCCGCGTTTGGGTCAGTGGTCCAGCCAGCTGTGCTCGCTCAGATCCGCACCATCAGCACGATGGAGAAGGTTGAGGTCAGCAACCTCTTTCGCACCGCATTCATTGCTTCTGGGCCCAAGGAGCAATCGCTCTTCAAAGTACTTTACGGCGCGCAGTGCTTTATCATTCCGCGCTTGCACTCTTCGGTGTCGCCTGCGCCGTACGGGATCTGCGAATGCAGGTTGATCTTGGAAGGGGAGGAGGTGATCCTTGGGATCAAGATGGACATCAAACAAGGGGGGCTCGGCAGCCAGGTGGACAGCCTCAAGCGCATGTCGGGCCACGACTTACTGCGCCTCGGCTCCTCCGATGGCAACTTCTGTTGCGTATTGGGCACTGGCGATTTTGCTGTTCTTCCGACGGGCTTCGTGTACGTGATTTTCAGAACTACTTTGGTGAGGGGTGTCCGCTGGGGTTGCTCCCCAAGGTGGGAGGGGGAGTTGCAGGAGGTCGAGCGCACGGTCAGCGCGGCGATGGAGGCGTACCAGGGCATCCGCGGCACGACCTACGAGGAGTGGTGGAAGTGGCTGAACAGCTCGGCGGCGTCACTCTGAGCGCGTGGGTGGTCTTCGCGGCGCCGCAGTTGGCAGCTGCTACCGCTAGCAGTTCTCTCCCCCCCATCCGATCTGATCTAGCTTTTCCTCCGATCCCCCGTCCTGCTCCTCGAGGCCGCTGCCCCCTCTCTTCCCTGACTCTCTCCCGGCCCTCCCTCCATCCTCTCCCGTGGTTTATCTGGCAATCCAACTCGGCCTTCTTCTATCAACCTCGAGTAACGCACCTGCTATGTCGCTTCATTTGCCAGGCTCCTCTCCGTTCGCATTTGCGATTCAACCTTTCGCGTGCTCCCTGGCCCAGTCGTCATCCTCTTGGCGGTTCGCGCGGCTCGAAACTCTCATTGTGTTTTCTTTTATACGCTCGTGCTCGCCTCTCCTCTCCCTCGCCGCCGCCGCCGCCGCTCTGTCCACTTTACTTCTGGCGGTGCTGGCCTTTCCGCTCGCCAGGCAGCGCGCAGTCGTCGGTCTGCTCCGCGTTCAGCTGCTGCCCGGCCATCCTGCCGCACGTCGCAGGGTAGGGGGTCTGAGAGGGACCCTTCGTTTCAGCTTGAGGGGTTGGGGGAGTGGAGAGGAGATGGGGGCGACGGGGAGGAGGGGGGCCAGAGGGAGGAAGACGGCGGCGGGGGAGGGGATGAGGGGGGAGGAGGAGGAGGAGGAGGAGGAGGAGGAGGAGGAGGAGGAGGAGAGAGGGAGGATGAGGGGGAGGGGGCGACGGCCAAGACGCAGCTGCACCTGATACTTTTCTAACTCTGGGGTTTCAGCAACCTGCAGGGGCCAAGACAACTGTGAGAAGTTGCGTGGCCAGTGCGCGGCGCCCGCCTGCCTCTCTCGTTCGCCTGCGTGGTGGAGTGGCAGGGCCCACGGCCGCAAATTAATTTGGGCAGCGTCGTCGCTTTGGAAGCGAAGCTGTTTCTGTCGGGGTCTGAACAAATGGGGGATCTCACGAGGGGCAAAAGTGGAGCTGGTTAGGACGTGCATGGGCTCACATTCACGCCAAAAGAGTGACAGGGCGCAGTTAGAAACAGAGACGGGGGTCAGGAGGGTAGCGACGATGGGGGATGAGGATGGTGGACAGGAGAAGATGGAGCAGGAGCAGGACCAGAAAGGGGCAGGAGAAGCAGGAGAAGGAGGATGGGGGGCGCCAGCAACGGGAGCAGGAGCTGCACGCGGGAGGGCCTGCATGGGATGCATCAGCAGGAGCAGCAGCATCAGCAACAACACGCAGCAATGACAGCAGGAGGAAGGATGGACGAGCACCGCTGGGGAGCAACTGCGCTGCCATGTGATGTGGAGAGTTGGTGGGGGGGATCGCATCCTACCCCTTCTCCTCCCCATCCTCCTTCTCACCTCCTCGAGTCCTCATCTCCTCCAGTCCTCATCCTCCTCTCCTCCCTAAGTCCTTGCTGGACCTCTTTGTCTCATTGCCTCTCAGTGGCGGACCCCGCTCTTGAAGAGTGCTCATTCATGTGGGAGGCTCTCGCTCTCCTACCTTTCCCTTTCTGCTCTCCTTGTCTCATTGCCCTCCCACCTTCCCCATCCTTCTCCTCGCTGTCTTCCTGGCGCACTCTTGCCTGCGGCCGCTCCCCCCCCCCCCCCCCTCCCAGCCGCCGCGCGCGGGCCCGGGCGGCAGGGGGCATCCTCAACCTCAGGGTGACTGCTGACGGCTCGGCCGTCGAGGGTGGCACGTTCTACGAGACGGACGGTTTCATTTGCGGATGGCCTTGCCCTCCTTGGTCTTTCCTCGGGTCCCGCAAGACGTTCGAAGACGATCGCGCGCAGGCGCGCTCGTGTCGAACCGTCGAGTAGCTGCTCTCGATGGGGATGGTGGAGGTTGAGACGGAAGGAGGGATCAGGATGAGGATGGAAGGGCGCAAGAGTACAGACAGAGAGTTGACGACGATAAGGATACAAATGAGGAGGAGGGACGCTGCGAGCTAAGACCAGCAGTATCAGCAGCCGCAGGGACAGCCCCCTCCGCCCTCCCTCATGTCCTCGTTCCCTCACCCTCTCCCCCTCCGCGTTCACCCTCTCCCCTCCCCCTCCCTCATCCCCCCTTCCTCCCTCCTTCGATTCCCCCTTCCAACCCACATCCTCGTTGCTCCCTCCTTCATGTCCCGTTGCCCTCCGCCCGCGTCCAGCATCTGCCCCGGCTGCGGCTCCTGGCCGCAGGTCTGCTTGCGCATGTTGGATCTCCTTCGCTGGCAGGGAGGGAAGCGCTTGAAATGGTTCTGCCTTGAGAATGTCAAGGGCATCGCCATGAAATGCAAGCGGCAACCCGCGACCCTCTTTGCAGAGATCCTTCCGTGGTTCAAGAACCACATGCCTGACCGCGTGGGCCACGAATGGGAGCGGGGGTGGAAGGACAGGGTTGTTGGCGAGGAGCGAGGGGGGGGGGGCCCGGGGGGGCTGAGGGAGGGAAGAGGAGGCACGAGAAGAGCGGGAGGAGGCACTGGTGGAAGAGGAGGGCGAGAGGAGTGGGAGGGCGAGGATGGGGGGGAATACTGAGGAGGACGAGGAGGAGAAGGAGGATTTGGAAAGGGACAAGGAGGGGGGAGAAGAAGAGGAGGATGGAGGAGGTGGAGGAGGTGGAGGAGGAGGAGGGCGAGGAGGAGGAGGGCAGGGCGATTCCTCCTCACCCTCCTCCTCCTCCTCCCCTTCCTTCTCCTTCCCCTCCTCATCCCTCCTCTACCTGCCTGTGCCTGGGCCAGGCTTGGGGATGTCTCGCACAGCGTGGAGCCTCTGCCCGAACGGGCTTTGGCGCAGGGGCCGCGATCCGCGACGGACATTCCAAGGCGCAGGCAGAGCGCAGGAAGAGGAGGGATGATGATGAGGAGGAGGAGCAGGATCGCCTTGCCCTCCTCATTCTCGTCCTCCCCCTCTACCCCTTCCGCTCCTCCTCCTTCTTCTCCTTCTCCTTCTTCTCCTCCTCCTCTCAGCCCCTCTTCCTCGCTCCACCCCGCCTCCCTTCTTTCAACCTCTAACCTCAAGTGGTGACGAGTAGGTCCTGACGCCCCGAAGCGGAATCTGCCTCGGTGTTCGAAGGGTTGCGCCCCCTCCCCCCCCCGGCCTCGAGACCCGTTTGCATTCCCAGCTGTCGCAGGACTTCCATGCCACTTGGAATGGAGTCACCAGCACCTCGGACGGGCTGCCCGCGAAGCGGGCTCGCATCTACATCTTGGGCATTCGATCCATGGTGTTGCGTCCGCTCCGAGACGCCGTGGACATCGCAGCCCCCATCAAGAGCTTGGCCCCGCTGGGGCCCGTGAAGCTGGCGGACTTTCTGGACGAGCGTCACCAGGGGGATCCGTTGCCCGCGGCCCAGGGCCTTCGCGGCAACGTCCAGGCCCCAGGGGGAAACCGTTACTACATGTTACCGTGCCCCTGCCACGAGAGAAAACGCGGTTTTCGTCAGCCAGCCTCGCGTTGTCCAGGAAACGCCGAAACGTCATTCCGAGTAGTGGTGGGCTTTGGAGGAGGAGGAGGTTTGGGTTGAGGATCGACGCGGCGCCCTTTCCTTTACTCGGCAGCGACGCTCTCTTCACCCCTCCATGTCCCGTCCTTCGGCGGCCACTGATGCCGTGTTCATGTCCGTTGGTTCTGCCTTTCGCACACAAGGATGTGTTAGGCTCTTCTCGAACTTGGAGGCCGATCACCTTATGTTCGGTATCGGTTGCCCCGTCCCTTCCCCCTACTCCCCCCTCCCCCCTCTCCCTCCTCGCTTCTGCAGCGAGTGTTATTCCTCCTCCTCCTCCTCCTCCCCCTCCTCCGTCCTCCGCCCCTCCCACCCTTCCTCCAGCCCCTCCTCCCCCCTCCGTTTTCCTTGGCGAGTGTAGCCTTGAAGGCTTACAATGCGCTCTGGCAGTCCAAGTGCGTCCCCGAGGGGACGGCGGGCATGTGCGATTTGACGCGCTCGCCCACGCGGGTCTTCGGCCAGTACCTCCACGTGGATTCCGTCTCGTGCTTCACCGCGAAGACGGAGTACCCGTGGCTGCTGGGGCCCGTCCTCGGCAAGGTCAGCGGCCACGGCCGCTACATGGCCATGGGGGAACGGTGCCGCGTCATGGGGTTCAAGCCCGAGGGCTTGGTGGGGGTCGTGCCGCCTCGCGTTCTCGTGGTTGCGCAGGGGAACACCATGGCGGTCCCCGCGGTGGGTCGCCAGCTGGTGCCTCTCATGAGGCTGATGAAACTGTGGGAAGACAAGGTGTCCTCGGTGGCTCTCTGGCGCCCGTGCAGCCTCCCGCCCCCGCCGCCGCCCGCCCAGGACGAGGGGGCGGCCCCGGCGGCGAAGCAGCGGAAGCTCACAGACTTCTTCAGCAAGAAGTCGGAATGAGTTGCATCGCCGCCCTCTTTTGCAGGAGGGCAATGCCACATGGGCCCGTGAGAAGAGGAGGTCAGGGAGAGAGGGGGAGGGGGATGGGGTGGGTGGGAAGGGCAAGGTGCACGGACACGACATAAGATAAGGAGGAGGAGAGCACAGAAGAGGAGGGGGGGGGAGGAGGGGCTTGGAGGGCACGGAAGAGGAGGAACAGGGGGAGGAGGTGGAGGAGGAGGAGACGCTTGGAGGCGCAGCAGGAGCGCGAAGAGGATGAGGAGAAGAGGGAGGAGGATACCCTGGGGCCGATCTGCATTTTTTTTCAGTTGATGTTTCCCTTCCTCCTCCCTATTTTCCTCCTCCTCCTCCTCCTCCTCCTCCTTCATCTCTCTCTCTCTCTCTCTCCCTCTCTCTCTCTCTATCTTTTTTTTTTTGTTTTTCTCTCTCTCTCTCTATGCCCTCGTCTTCTCCCCTCCTACTTCCTCGTCCTCCTCCTCATCGTCATTCTCCTTCCTGGTATTCTCCTCATTCTCTCCCCCTCAATCCTCTTCACCCTCCTCTTTCGAATCGTCGTCCTCATGGCATTCTTGCTTATCATCCTTTGCCTCCTCTGGACCTCCCCCTTCCTTCCTTCCCCCTCCGCTCCTCCTCCTCCTCCTCCTCCTCCTTCTCCTCCTCCTCCTCCTCT